ATGCCCTGGTTCGAGACCAAGGAGACTAACCCGGATAAGGGAAAGTGGGGTCAGCACTGGACTATGAAAAACATGAATCCCGATATAAAGGTAGGCCTACTTTTAAAGTACGATAGTATTTGTAAACATGTTTCTGTTAATTTTTATTATTTTTTTATGATTTATTTACTTTTATGATTAATTAAAAATGTTCCACATAATTTTAAAAATATAGTATTGTATTATCAATTCCATATTAAGTAGTATGTCCAACAATAATACCCGTAATAAAGTCTGTAATCAATGTATAAAAATAATACAAATATACAGTTTGAACAATAAATACTTTAAAATTTCAATAGTTTCAAAAATCTTAATATTTCTTGCTTTACCAACTAATAACATCTAGTTAATAAATCATAAAATTAGTAAATTAATAATAAAGATGGTTATGCTTAACTAAAATATGTTCATAAATTTTTTTACCTAAATAAAGGACGCGTCCGGAAAACGCCAAATAGCCTCCCATTTCTACCCACTCATCGATCTGTACGCTTCCGGCGACTCTCATGTCGTCGACTGGCAGTTGGGTCTCATGAAGCTGTCCGGTGTGACCGGGGTGTTGATCGACTGGCCTGGTACCGCCAACGTATGGGACTACCCTGGTAACGCCGCCAATTGCGAGGCAATCATTAAGGGATGTCAACGCGTGGGCCTGGAGTACGCTATCGTATACGAGGATCACAACCTGGGAATGGCCAGGGATGCTCATATGTTAAATGTCACTATCATTGAGCAGGGTAAAGCCGACATGGTGTACCTGAGGGACAAACATATGGTTAACAGTAATTATATTAAACTAAACGGTGCTCCCCTGATACTTGACTTCGGACCACAGACTTTAAATGCCGGTGAATGGGATCAGGTATGAAACAAATTTACGGTACTTGAAACAAATAACTAGGTACGATTTGTTTACATAGACTAATTCTAACACTAATATTTGTTATCATGAATTAACCTAAATAATTTAAATGAAAAACTAGCGTTAAGTTAATTGTAATAATCTATTACTAATAATCTAATATGTATTAGTAATAACCATAGGGGCGTTAGAACTGGACAGTCAGGGCTATACATTAATAAACTCATAGACAATATTTTTTTTAATCATAACGTCCCTATGGTTATGACTAATACATATGTCTATTCATAACTAATGTAAATATTTCTAACATATCAAAAAAATTATGGACAGGTGTACTCAGTCATGACACAACCACCCACATTCCTAACCTTATGGAATCAAATGGGAAGCTGTCCGGTGTGACCGGGGTGTTGATCGACTGGCCTGGTACCGCCAACGTATGGGACTACCCTGGTAACGCCGCCAATTGCGAGGCAATCATTAAGGGATGTCAACGCGTGGGCCTGGAGTAC